TGAATCACCTCTATGATCTGTGTCATAACCACTGTTGCTGCTGAGAGGACAAATTAGCAGCCAAACTACAATATACTGTACAACTTACTGTTGTTGGAGCATGTATATGCACCTGCCCCTTTCTCCTCACACAGTATCTTTGTCTCACCAGCCCCCTACCCCTCCTCTATGATCCCACATATCCTGGGAAGTGGCCCCCAGTTTAAAAACCTCTGATGGACACCATTCATTAAACTGATGAGTTTCTTGTTTTTATACAGTGTGTGTGTTCTATTCATCACCATAGTGTGTAAAACATACAACATCAAGGCAATCTCCAAACCAACATTATTTAAAGTTGACCATCAAGACAATACACTAAAAACCTGGTGGAAAATAAGAGTCAAACTTACGCAAAGAAGCCCATTATGCCTTCTTCTCTGTAGACTGTGATGATGGAGTCAAACACCCCACTGAGAACAGAAGCAAACATTTTTTTAAATGTTTTAACAATTTTCATGACTCTTCTAATTGAGATTTATGTCTGGCACATTCAACATTCACGTTTACCTGTATTTTGTTTCTCTCCCAATAAACTGCACCATACATCGCAAAGTAAGCACTGGAAAAACAAGTTGAGAAAGACAGTTGGCATGCTGACTTGTATCTTCTCACATAATTCATACGCATCTCAGCTGCAACCACTTCAACAGCTCTCATACAACCTCTGCAGGTATCTCAAGAATAACATAGGCAGCTAAAGCCATCTCAAAGATTTGAGCAGACATTCATGATGTACCATGAAAGGGATGTGTGACGATGGTGGCACAGGAACGAGCAATCATCTCTTTGGTTGTCTGTGGAGACAGGAGTAGACAAAACGCCATCAACTGAGATGTACCCTACCAGTCAAAGGAGTTTAGGACATGCCATTTTTCAAGTTATTTTTGCTCTTAGGCCTGCCATGTGCTAGTACTGAAAGTGTTCAGAATGCTGCAGCTACAATTTTAATTAAATCCAGAAAATCTGACCACATTACTCCAATCTTAGCTTCCCCACACTGGCTAACTATCCATACTAGATCAGAGTTCAAAGTGTTTCTGCTACAGAAAATGCTAAAAGGCCATGACCCTTCATACCTGTCTGATCTACCTCAACCTTACTTTTCATCCTGTCCTCTCTGCTCCCAGAATGCAGGGCTCCTGTGTCCCCAAAGGCAGAAAGAACAGTAGGCTGCAGGGACTTTTCTGATCAGGAGAATAATTTAAGTGTGGACATAAAAAGTAGTAATAGAATTGACGAGTTTAAACATAAATATAAAGGTATGTGTCAATCAAGATATATGCAAGAACAGGCTTAATGATTAATTAGATGGAACATTGTGGGTGTGGTGTATGAATGTTAATACTCTGTAATAATTCTTTAATATATTACTTGTGTGGTGTAGAAGATAAGTATTTAAGAATGTAATTATGTACGAATGTTAACACTCTGCTTTACAGCATCCACACTATGTTCTCCTGATTATTCTGGGATCTTCGTCCGTTTTTTGGCACTTTATAAGTTCAGTTATACAGGCCATTCAGGTATCTACCTGTTCAGCAATGAGACACCCCCCCCCCCCCCCCACCCCACACACACACACACACACACACACACACACACACACACACACAAACACTTGTTTTACCTACTTTGTGGGTACAAAGTGGAATATTTTCATATCTTAAGTTCAGCATACTTTCAGCTAGAAATGCCATTCAGGTATCAAAATGTTCAGCTCTTCAAGGACAAGGACACTTGTATTTATTGCATCTCATCCTTCAAATTAATCAACAAAGAACTTCAGCCATTTCTTCTCAACTATTTCAACAAAGAACTTCAGCCATTTCATCTCATCCTTCAGCTGTTTCAGCAATTGATTTCAGGCATTTTCAGGATGATCTTTCAGCATATCAGCATACACACACATTTACAACAGGAAATGCATTTCTCTAGTTTGCTATTGTGCCCCCTTCCTTCAAGCCTTGTACTGGTTACTAATCTCCCTCTGGGTTGGTCTCAGTCTCACTGAATCTATTAAACATAGTACATACACTATAATCCATGTTTTCCTGTCAATTAGATTTGTGTAAAGCTTCAGAAAACCGCTGCATCTGTCTAACTTTGTTTGTTCCTCTCACTCTCTTCTCTTTCTCTCATCTCTGTGCTGCAAACACAGGACCACTCTCTCCCTGTGGCTCCCATTCAGATCGGATTTTGAATATGCATCTTTGTCCTCCAAAAGTCTGTGTCATATTCTGTACAGACTGTAAATCTGTGATATTGGGCTATATAAACAGTATTTGACTTGACAAATTGCCACCAAAGAGCTTCTACAAAGTACTGAATTATGGGCCCGAATACTTTTGTAAATGAGAAAACATTTTAAACAACATGTTTACATATATGGAGCCCAGTTTGTGGTTAATGCCACTGGAGTGAGGACATTCTGAGAAAGTGAATGGCCTCAAGGACTGTTTGAGGGTTAAGGTTACAGTTTGGTTTAGATCAGAGATAGGCTTTTAGTTGTTATGGTCAAGGTTAGGGTAAGGAGCTAGGGAATGCATTATGCCACAGTATCCACACAAAGATACATCAACATACTGAAGAGATTATTTATATCATTTATGACAATGATATAATAAGACAAACCTTGGCAGACCATAATGAGAAGTGAAAATTGTGGGAGTTTGTCAGGGTACAGTATGTTCTCACAGACATTTGAGGCATCATAATAAAGAGGATATCTCGCACTTAAAAGTTAAATAAAATAATGAAGTGTAGCTTAATAAACGTAAGACACCTCAGTGACCTGCTTGTTTGGTACGTTACTTTTTGGCAGCATCTCCTAAAAGGACAAGTGGCTTACCTCATTGACAACATGCTGTAGGGAGCCCTCCAAAGCCTTCGGCTGGCTGCTCAGTATCTGGACAACAGAGAAAAACCTCAGCACCACTTATCATTAAAGTCTTTGGCCATTATATACCTTTAATAAAAAAAAAAAAAAAAACCACACACACAGGAAACAGATGACACAAAATAAGAGATGATAATGATAGAGGTCCCTAACCAAACTTGAATCAGGACCAGTGCAAGTCATGATCAACGCCTTTACTTTTAATGTCACCAAGGCAACCCAGGGATGAAATGAGAGTTTGCCTGTCTTACTTTCTACAAGTCACTCACTCTCTTAACCTGGAGTTTTCCCAGACTGGTCAGGAAGCAAGCTAGATGTCTTTAACAACAATATTATAATAAATTCTAAACCCAAGTCCAAACATTGACAGAGTTAATAACTAATGATTGTTAAGTGTTGTAACCTCAAACCTGATCATTTATTGGCCATAAGGAAGTTCTCAACTCAGGAGCAGGAACAAGAGCAACATCCAAGAACCAAAACCGAAACTAGGTTTGTGTGTAAAGAAAGTTCTTGAGTTCTGAAAATTGCTGGCAGCCTCACAGGAAAAAAACCCTGTGGATCGATTTATAGACGACTGTACATGTATGCCATGAAGAATTCCACCTGAATGGAAACAAACTCTGGGGTACAAAAAGAGGCTGGAGGAGGTTAGGGAGGACACACAAAGTATTAAAAAACATTTCATAAAGGGGGTGCAAACTTGTGCATTGATATGATGTTCATTATTTCACTATAACTTTCTCTTTATACACTCCCTGATCATTTTTGTTGCTTCTGTTGAAGAAGGAACATTTGCACTAGCTGAATGTGCATTACATATATTAATGGGGAAAAAAAAAAAAAAAAACTTTTTGCCATTTCAAAGTAAGGGGATGCAAACATTTGCACCCAATTGCATCTCTCCAGAAATAGTTGTAAATTCTAAATTATATAATATTTTCCCCTGATGTTAAGCATTGTGGAGGTGGCACGGTGGGGCCTGTGACTAGCACTGTTGCAATAAGGTTCTTGGTTTGAGCCCCGGCCAACCCGATGCCTTTCTGTGTGGAGTATGTATGTTCCCCCTGTGTGGGTTTTCTGCAGGTACTCCAGCTTCCTCCCACAGTCCAAAGACATGCAGCTCAGGTTGACTGGTGACTAAAATGCCACTAGGAGTGGGAATGTGTGTGGTTGTTTGTCTACATGTCAACCCTATGACAGACTGGTGACCTGTCCAGGGTGGACCCTGCCTCTCACCCAATGTCAGCTGGGATTGGCCGATAGCTGGGTTAGGGGGAAGGTTAGGTTTTAGGCAAGTAGTGGTTATGGTTAAGGTTAGGTTAAGTCTCCGGGAAATAAATTTAAGTCAATATAATGTCCCCTGAGGAGATGGAAACACAATGTGTGTGGGTGCTCAGGCTCGTCCTCTATCACACAGTCCAAACAACAAATAAGAAAACTCACCTGAGGTATGCCTTGGTCCTGACATTTCTGTAGCAAAGGAGAGATCAACATTAAATTGATATTACGCCCTAGATAGAGTCTGAACTGAACAGGACATTTTGCAACCGAAAACACAGTATATGTTTATCAGTGCACTCTTTGTGAAAACAACAATCTTCCTGAATTATTCATCACACAGTACCATCAGAAAGGCATCTGATCAGTCTTGTATTTTTTTCTGCAGCAGAATAACAAGCCCAAACATCGAGCCACAGTCATAAAGAACTGTCTCCACAGAAAAGAACCATGGGATCTGCGTCAGAAGGTGGCTGCCACAGAGCCCTGATCTCAACATCATGGAGTCAGTCTGGGATTACATGAGAGGACAGAGGACACTAAGACTTCCTAAGTCCACAGAGGAACTGTGGGAGCGTCTCTACGATGCTGGGAACGATCTCCAGTACCTGCCAATTATCTGGAAAATCTGTGTGCAAGTATACTGAGGAGAACTGGTGGTGTTTTAAGATCCTTAACAGAACACAAGGGTTAAATGCAAAGGGTTCATGTTCACTGCACTTTATGTGAAGTTCACCGCTAAACAAAAACCACACAACATTATTTTTAAAAGATTACTTGATTTATTTATAGTGCCTAGACCCTTTGCACAGTATCATACATATGACATATTTCTGGCATGTCAGTATGGACACTTCTAAAGTGATGCTGTTGGCACAGTTATATCTGTGCCTATAGCCTTCAAGGGGGAAAAAAACGTCAGTACTGCCAATATATGTGTAAACTGTCATTTGTAGAGCAGGAAATACGCTGTAAGTGTATACACATTCTTAGCTTGACTGATAACCATATCCATCTATTACAGAACCTAGTGTAAAATGGTAGGATTTTGAGGTTAGAAGCCTGAGTCTCCATCATGATCTTTTGCCATAATAAACTGCAGGTCCATAAAAATGGTAAAGCAATACAACAAAATACGTTCTCTGATTTTTTATTCTGTTATTGTAGAACTTAAACAGTTGTTGCTTTCTGAAAATAGTTTATTTAGAAGACGATCTCAGTACAAGTATATAGTTATAAACAAGCTCTACACTTTGCAGCAGCCATACAGCCATGGCTGTTGTTGCCCCGGCAGTTGGCTGTGAAGCCACCTATACCGGTACGACTTACACAGCCATGGAGGCTGTTGTGCCCTCATCAGACCTGACAGAGCTCTCCACTGTCATTCAGGTGCAGACTGGTGAGGGTAAAAAAAGGTGACAACATTTTACTCACCCAAAAACAAAACTGAAAAAAACATTTAATAAGCTGTGCAAGTTACTGGGAGAACAAGCCATTAAAAATGAAGGCAGGACTCTACACTAATGGTTAGTTATCAGGGCACTAGTGTGCCTAAATAATAATTACACGATAATTATTAATCCAACCTGAATTGAGTATTTAACTTGCTTTTTAATCTGAGTCCTTTTAGCCCACTTTGTAAATTTGTGGAGTCATAAATTCAGTTTGGCTGAACATCTTTCTTGGAAGCGAAGATATTTGGCCCCTTCAGCAGAGGAATATTAAAACAGCCTATTAGTAACAAACCAGGCACCTACAACGGTCAGTATAGTGGGGGATGCTATTTATTAGGTATAAACATAAGACAAAACACATTTTTGAGTCAAGTGGGTCTTTAAGGACATGATGTGAACATGGAGTGAAGCTGATGTACGTCAACAGCACTGAAAATATGTAAATAAGTTCTTCAGGTTTTAATGGCGATTGACTTTAATGGTGAATTAGTTCAGCAATGTCTCATCAACACCCTCGTAGAGCAACTTTACCTGCAATGGCAAATGAAACAGGCCTCCTGTATATTCCTATATTTCTCAGTAGTGACTTGTTCAGACAGATAATTATAGATGTTTATGTAGATTTATTCTGAAATCTAAGACCTCTTAAGTTCTGATTTAATACAAGCCTGTTTTCATTCAAGCCAGATACACTGCCTATAAAAAGTATTCATCCCCTTGGATGCTTTACCCTTTTATTGATTTTATAAATCAGTCATGGTCAATATAATTTGGCTTTTTTGACAAAAAAAAATTACAAAAAAGTGAAAACAGGTTTCTACAAAGTAATGTCAATTAAATAAAAATATGTAATGGGAAATAAGTGAGTGCATAAAATATTCACCCCCTTCAAGTCAATATTTATCACAGTACTGAGTCTGTGTGGATAGGTCTCAGTCAGTCTTGCACATATGGACACTGCAATTTTACTCCAATCTTCTTTGCAAAACTGCTCAAGCTCTGCCAGGTTGCATGGGGATTGGACGCAAACAGCCCTTTTCAAGTCCAGCCGCAAATTCTCTATCAGTCTGGGCTTTGACTCGGCCACTCCAGAACACTCACCTTGTTGTCTTTAAACCATTTCTGTGTAGCTTCCGCCGTTTGCTTCAGGTCATTGTCTTGCTGGAAAATAAATCTTCTCCCAAGCCGTAGTTCTCTTGCAGACTGAATAAGATTGTCCTCCAGGATTTTCCTATATTTTGCTGCATTCATTTTACCCTCTCCCTTTACAAGCCTTCCAGGGCCGGCTGCCGAGAAGCATCCCCACAACACGATGCTGCCACCACCATGCTTCACAGTGGGGATGGTGCGTTTGTGGTGATGTGCAGAGTTTGGTGTCCACTACAACATAGTGTCTGGTCTGATGGCCAAAAAGCACCATTTTGGTCTCATCAGATCAAAGAATGTTCTTCCATTTGACCCTGGAGTCTCCCACATGCCTTTTGGTGAACTCCAGTGAGATTTAATATGAGTTTCTTCAACAGTGGCTTTCTCTTTGCCACTCTCCATAAAGCTTTGGCTGGTGACGAACCCGGGCAACAGTTGTTGTATGCAGAGTCTCTCCCATCTCAGCTGCTGAAGCTTGTAACTCCTTCAGAGTGGTCATAGGTTTCTTGATAGCCTTTCTCACTAGTCTCCTTCTTGCACAGTCACTCAGTTTGTGAGGAAGGTCTGATATAGGCAGATTTAGACATGCGCCATATTCCTTCCATTTCTTGATGATGGATTTAACTGAACTCCGGGGGATGTTCAGTGCCTTGGAAAGTTTTTTGTATCCATCCCGACTTATACTTTTCAATGTTTTAGAATTCATTTTAAGATTCTTTTATTTGTTTTTAAGGCTTTAAATGGTCTGGCCCCCCTTTATCTTACAGAATTGCTGCATCCCTATAGCCCCTCTCGGTGCCTCCGATCAGCTGATCAGCTGCTCTTGGAGACACCGAGGGCTAGGCGAGACTTAGGGGGGACAGAGCATTCTCTGTGGGGGCTCCTAAGTTGTGGAATGCATTGCCCCTTTACGTTAGGCAGGCCCCCTCGTTGTCCACTTTTAAAACTTTTTTGAAGACTCATTTGTACCGTTTGGTGTTCGAACCAGTATGAGCCTCTGTCTTGTTGGGCTTTTCTGTTTTATGATGGGTGGTTGTTTTAGTGTGATCCTGTTTTATTGTTGTGTTTATTGCTTTTGCTTGTTTTATTGTGTTTTAACGGGTTTTAGTGATATTGTGTTAAGCACTGGTCAGCTTCGGCTGTGTTAAACGTGCTATATAAATAAAGTTGATGATGATGATGAATAACTTTTTCTCCAAGTTGCTTGATAGCTGATGATGAAATAGCACTTATACAAATTAAATAAAAACATTTCTGAGCAGCTATTTGGAAATATGTCTTTTCAAATAAATGCTTCCAGGACTACACTAACTGTGAAATTCCTCTACTTGTGTATCATTACATCCCAACTTTCATGTGAAGCTGTACATGTGATAACATCCATTTAAGAAGAACTGCTTCTAGGCCTACCTGCACAACTTGACCGTGCACAACGGTACCGATGGTCCCAGCACAGAGTCTTGGAACGAGTCCTTTAAAGAGACCTGCTCTTCCATCAATTTTGATGATGTGTTTTGCTGAAACATTCGGAAAATACAATATAGAGCAGGATAAGATAAAAAAAGGCTGTTTAAAAACTGTATTTTAGTATATTTCTACACAACTAATGTCTAAGAAACCAAAAAATGTCAACTGAGAAAACAATGATGCATTTGAAATATCACAGCATCCCACATTTTAGAGAAATTTAACATTTATACATAAAAACAGCAACCCAGCATCTCAACATGACTTCTACCAGTAATTTTACAAAGATTAGATTTTTTTTCTCATTTACATATCCTCAAAAAAGTAAAAACAAGTCTTCAGAACATCCTGGACCATACCACTAATGCTGCATCAGCCCTGAAAATCACATGTGCTTACAACCTATTTGGGCAAACTCACAAGAACAAAAATAGCATCTGGCATTTCATAAATGTGATGGGAATCAACATCGGTCTCATGTTTGAATAATTCCTCCAGTCACTTTTTAGAAAAGTCAAAATGAAACCTGACTAGTTCTGATCTCGTAACACAACACAGGTTAAGACAGAACTGTTACAGTAAAGTAAAACCTGCAGTAGCACATGTTTACATACCCACAGAGAAATTAAAAGCCCATCTCATTTATGCTTTTTTTAAACGTTATTGATTCCAAGTGTGTGGAGAGTCAGACTCACCATAAGCAAACAGTCCAGGCAGCTGGTACACCTGTCTGCCAAACAGGTTTGTGCCAAGGGTGGGAGGCAGCGGCTCATGTCCTACCTACCAACACACAGAAGTATCAAAGCTGTGAGCAAAGTGCACCATTAATGCTCTTGGACTGCATTTCCAATATGTCTAGGGAAAACTGGCACTATGGTTCTTCCGGACTTACTGGTTCCTTATTGACATGTACTGTAGCTTGTCAGCTTTGCCATTTTCTCTTAATATTTTGTTCACTTTGTCAGTTGCATTTGTGTAATAGTTTTCACACGATACACAGCAGTATTTTTGCTTTTAAAACGAATTTAGCTTCACTGTAAAGCAAAATAAGTCGACTGAATTCCGATGCAGACTTCTGAATTACGTTAGCTAACGCTGCCTTTAACTCGCTAAGTGGGCCAAAGGGCACAGTACCGTGCACTGACAGGAATACCAATTTATTATTCAAGATACACGATGACAGCAGGCTAATGGCATCATCTGCAGTTTAAACAAACTAACGTCAATTTATACAAACAACCTGCACATTAGTGCGAAGAATTATTAGCTCATACCTGGCCTTTTACAGTGAAACAGGTCAAGGGAGCCACTGGGAATGCATGTCGCACACACACACACACACAGACACCTGGGGTAGATCACATTCCAGCAAGGAGGTGTGAGCTCCGGCTCACCAAATGACCAATAGAATTACAATGCATGAATTGTTGTACCTTTGTTGAGTGCAGAGCAGCCCAAGAAGATAAAATGTATTGTAAGACCTTAATTCGAGGTCAGTGGATGGAACTCCTGCGGGAGTTCTGTCTCTCTGATCCCAGCACTGTAAGGCCTACCTGTGATCAGACATTCAGTAAACTTTCTGCTGATTTTAAACAGTCCTCTCCTGTCGTCATTTCTCGTGCTTCCAACAGAAGAACGGGTTAATTTCTAACAAAAAGGTTAGAATCCAACAGATGGACTGATAATATTACTATCGTGCCGTTTGCTGCGATGTGTATTGCATGTATGTTGAATTAAATAGTCCATCATGCTGATTCATGAAAGGTCTTAAGCCAAGTTCTACCCTGTGCATTCTTTTACTGGTAAGAGAGGCGACATTAAACTGTCTTGTTTTCAATGGAGCTTGACAGCTTCTTCAGGCTAGTAGCTAGAAGAGTTGCCTATAATTTACATTCATTGCTTCTTGAAGCTTCATCTGCCCATCACTACTTGCCAGCGTCTACACAAACACTTCTCTTCTTACCTGAATCAGGACTTTAATGTACATCAGAGGATGGGAGAGGACGGTGAGCCCTGATCCCAACAGTATTTGGGCACAACTATCCGCCATTTTTGGAGCGACAAGGGAGACAGGAAGTTCTTAACGTTCTTCTAGTGTCTGAAGAGCTCACGGCGTCCGAGAGCACCCAACAGTTATCAGCTTATGGCTGTACCGCCATCTAGTGGTAATAAATGGCATGGACGCTAAAACGTTCTTAGTTAACTGTATTGAAAAAAAAAAAACAATCAAATAATTTCAATTACAGAACATAGAAAAACGAGGTACAAGGACACTTATAAATAAAAAAATCAACTGAAAGTGAGAAATGAGTTATTACAAATCCATTTTAAATTCGTCAGTGTATTAATAATTTCAATAACCTTCCTAAATTTAATTATTGTAATAAAAGGAAACACAATACAAGGAAAAACAATGTTATTTCATACTGTATTAAATTTTATCCACAAATAGGCTTCTTTTATTTCATTTTATTTTATTTTTGGCTGCTTTTCCTTGAAGATGCACAGTGATTAAAAAGGGGAGTATACCAATTGCAAATGGAACTAATGATTTATGAATGTGTGACTTTAAAAGAAGATACACACGTTTGATTGAAGAGTTTACAATGTTATTTACACAGATGTAAACACCATAATTCTATGCCATCTATAAGCAGACTAATCCTCCTGTCCAAAGGCAGGTATACCTGCTTACAGTAAATGCAACTTTAAATATGTTTAGGATGCATGAATAATCTGTGTGTAAATGTAAAATGCATTTTATTAACCTTATTTGGTAATAAAAAGTCTGCAAGAAAAATCTATTTGAAGAACAGTTTTTGCAGTCAGTAAGTTTCTGTATGTATTATTACTGTATCTTCTTTCCAGGATATGTTTTGTTTCTAATTGTGAAGCCCAGAGCCATAAAATGTTTTTTTATAAAAACACCTCCACTGTTTGAATCTGGTAGGAGGTATCGTGACCATTTTAAAGTCTCTCTGAGATGATGTAATATTGATTAGCCAATTTTAAAAAATCCACTTTGGGTTACACAGAAAACAAAAATAAACTTAATTCCAATTGACATAAATCTTGCTTTCAAATCATTGCTTTGGTTTGCAGTTGACTGCTCTTCCTGGTAGCTTATCCAACAATGTTACACACTGACTATACGTCCTGCTTTTCTTTTTTTACTGGACCACATCCCAGTGTTTATTCCTTCAGTGACTAAAGGACAGACTGCAGAACTAGTTACTGCAAAAGTGCATCTTAATTTGAGTTTGGTTAACTGTGAAGGAAAGCAAACAAGAACAATGTGATGAGCGAATGGAAACAGACTGGTGTGTTTCAGCTTTATTAGAAGATCATTGGCTGTTGTGCTGAAGAGTTCATATCTGCAGCTTCTGTTGGCCAGTGGTCACTGGGAGATGTGTCTGTCAGGACATCTGGACGGGATTCTTTTGTAACAGTGACCCTGGTGATATCATTGCAGCTCATCTCGTTAGCATTGCCAAAGGACACACTAGAGTTAAGGATGGGTACCATGGTGGGCTGGTTGTTCTTGGAGAAGTCATACCTACAGCAGGACACAGAGTAGTTAGACTAAAGCATAGTACGTAATGCACACACAAAGTGTGAAGTGAACCAGTTGTTCTCACCTGTGGTACTGCATCACAGAGTTGTAATTGTAGGGAGTGCCCTGGTTGACTGAGGCCATCTTCCTGAACTTGTGCTCCATTCCTTAAAAACCAAAGAGGACAAAGTTAATTGAATTCAAGGTGATAGACATGCACACACAAAGTGTGAAGTGAACCAGTTGTTCTCACCTGTGGTACTGCATCACAGAGTTGTAATTGTAGGGAGTGCCCTGGTTGACTGAGGCCATCTTCCTGAACTTGTGCTCCATTCCTTAAAAACCAAAGAGGACAAAGTTAATTGAATTCAAGGTGTTTAATCTGGACATAAAGTAGTGCAGCAACTGAAGAAACCGATACGCTGCAGAGCTCCATGGTTCTGAGACGAACTTTCAGCTCAAACTGTTCATTTCTATCAGTTTCTTACCCATTCTGGGACTCAGTGCTCAGTCATGGTCGCTGCTTTGTCTGACCCTGAAGCAGGTGCAGGAGGAGGAGGAGTCCAGCCAGGACAATACCATACATTTACCATCTGACAGCAGTGTAGCTCCTACAGAGACTGTTAGACTAATGAGTTTCTTAAGGTGGAATTAGTCATCCCTGTTTGGTGCGTTCAGTTTAATTAAAAGGAGTTTCTGTTGACTCCAGTAATGTGCTTTGCTGCTGCAGACAAAATCAATTCCTGATAAGTGAAAATGGTTATGGTTATGGTCATATCACATCATTCCCCAAATGTAACTAAAACAAATGTAATATTTCTTAAGGATATTGGATGGGATAGCGTAATATTTAACAAAAAATGACATGTTCTCACAAATGTGTGTATGCGGACATATGTTACAGTATTTGCTGAGTCTGGTGTTCAGAGCCAGTTCAGAAAAGGGCTTATCAGTGATGGTATGTGCTACACTGGAACACCTGCACCAGGTCCTGTATATGAAGGCTAAATAAATGATCACACATATCACACAGAAAAGGGTGAACTTGAGGTTAAGATTGAATTTACATTTTATTTCTTTTTTTAATATTCCATCAAGCTTGCAAGCACTTTTTCATTAAGCGTAAATCTATAACAATGTCACTGGATTGCTGTAGCATTGTATAGCACTGGCTTTTCTTTTCATTTCTCATTAGGACAGCAAGCATAGGACTCATTTCTGATTCATGTAGATAAAAAGCTGTAGACAATCAGCTGTTATCGTTTCCTCGTGACTTCCTGTTGGAAAAAGAAGATGTAAAAAAAAATGAATAAGCAAACATGCGTGCGCACACACACACACACACACACACACACAGGCGTGCAAATACAGTAGATTATTTACAGTAAATTACTAAAGTTTTTGTTTTGTTACTTCAGAAGCTACAGTGTGATCATACAGTAAAGCAGCATACTTTTATATTGATAGTTGAATGGTTTTAAGACATTTATCACATCTTTTACTAAGTGGAGGAAGCAAAATGTCTTAATTTATTAAATTATCATCAGTAGGTTTATGACTGGCTAACAGGAAACATGATACTTACAAATGTACATCCAAACCCACAAGCCACTTACTTTCATTTCAGGAGGAAACTGTTCCATTGCTTTCTCTGCTGGAGTCTCCGGTCGCGTCCGGAAGCAGCTGAATCTGCAGTGATTTCAAAATGACAACAGCTTCTGTGAAAGCTGCTGGATTTCTTTATGGCACCACTATAGTGCACATGAACATTAATAGGTTTAGATCTCTCTAAATCTGTATTCACATGTATGCTGAAAAAAAAACGTCTGAGTTTTCTGAGAAAAACAGTTCTGAGTTGAAAACTGATGAAGCCTCTTGGATGAGAGAGGTGAAACGTCTTTGACCTAGAAATCTAGTCCAGTTGATTTTTTTCTAAGTTTTTTCAGCTTACTATGACCTGGATGACTCAGAATCTGCACAGACATATTCACATGTATGTTCATTATGTCAACACTGTAGGAAGACTGTTTGAGAGTACTCTTACCATATACAGTAGAAATAAGTACTTAGTTATTGTGAGGGTGGGGGGAGGGGAGGTAGTGGGCTAGATGTAAAAAAAAAAAAAGTACATACTGCATTGGTAAAGGCGGTTCACCCGAAGGATGTCGACAGGACTCATCCTTTCTGCCCGGCCAATGGTTACGTCGTTGTCAGGGATGGGAACGATGGTTGGCTCCCTGTTCCTAGAGAAGGCAAACCTGTGGTGCAAACACACAGTCATGATGACAAGTTTATAATCTATATACTGCCACCACATACTATAGTATATTATACTGTGCTGTGTAAGCTGCTCAGGTCATATTCAGCAAGAACCATTAGTTCGTTCCTGTAGCAATGAACAGCACCGAACAGTTTATAAGCTGAAGTGTAATGTGAACCAACATTTCATTATCTTATTAAGTTGTTATGACTATTCATTTGGAGTGTTGTCTGTGTCCACCTGATGGATCTAAGTCCAACATCCACTCCGCTTTTAGCTCTGGTTTGATCTCTACCAAGCCATGGGAGAGAACATCTGGCTCTTCATCATGTATATACAGCCTGTTGCTCTGCCTTCATGTAACCACAAATTAATTAATCTAGCTTAAAAGATATAACAATTTAAATTGAAAATACAATTTCACACAAGTTTGTTAAAATGGCAGTGGAGCTGTAATACCAGTTTATAGGCAAATGATTTATTCAGGCACTTGTTCACATCAGGTCTGGCTTAAAAACAGTATTCAGATACTTGTATATGTGGGTAATACCTTCCATAGTGCATGACAGAGTTGTAGTCATAGGGAGTGCCAAGATTCCTTGTTTCTATCTTCCTGAAATTATGCTCCATTCCTGTAGGAGATCACACAGCTAAATCAATTTGTGTCTCTGTTTTATTTATTTATTTATTTGGTAGTCAAATGGCTGAAAAGTGCAGCAACTAAAAAAAAGAGTAAAGGCTTATATCAACAGGAAACTAGTTATGTCACTATGTGTATGATATAATTCTTAAAAAACACTTCTTTAACACCTTCAGCTACTTTATGTCTACATGCTGAAGTGATCAGAAATGATTCATTTATTTACTGGTCATTTTTTGTTCTTAAAAGTTATAAAGGTCTTTTACAAAAGCATTATTAAAGTGACCCATGTGGTGGCGAACACCCACCAGGAATAACATTCTCCAGCAGGATGCGAACATGTTCGTCCCTGTCAGACCGGCACTGTTCATGGTGGAAGCCCAGGGCGTGCAGTAGCTCGTGTTGGACGACTGACTCAAAGACACAGCCCTGGCGACTCAAAGACACTATCTGGCCAGAACCCCGACGCCCGACAAATGAGTAACACCTGAAAGAGAGAAGTAATTAAAACTACCAAACAACATAACAACCTCAGTTCCTTGAGCAGATTTCACATTGCTTCCCTGGACTTGTTTGATGGCAAGTCATCTAGATCTGGGTGTACACAGGGGCTATGAGTGCATTCATGTACTGTATACATGTGTGGTCTGTTTACTCTGTCGGCCATACTGTACCCCGATCGAGATTGGATGTCCACAAAGTCTCTTTGTCTGTTCAAGGGGACGAAGCGGATACAGGTGGACCTGCCAAATGACTCCAGACCTTGGATGATGGTATCTCTCTCTCTCTGGGCTTGACAGTTAAAAAATGATTATCAGTTTAATGTACTGCCTTGTGGTAATTTTCTGATTCTTTCTACCATCATATTATAATTTTAGCAAAAGCTTACTGTGCTGCTTCTAATACCTACTATACCAGTACTGGTATAGCTACTGTTACAACTGCAATACTGCTGCAACAAGCTACTGTTGCTACAGCTAATCCTGCTGCCACTGCTGTTGCTATGACTACAGCAGCCACTTCTACTATTACTAGTAATGCTATTGCCATATTGCTACTATTACCACTGCTACCTTTTCTATACCTCTACTACAAGCATTACTACCACTGCTAACGCCATTGCTCCTATTGCAACTACCTTTACAACTACTAGTACTGTGGCTATTGCTACTACTGTTAATACTAGTGTACTACTATGACTAGTAGTAGTCTCTAGGGGCTGCCCTGTTTCCAAGTTAATCAGAAGTACACCTCTCAACAATAATTATGAATAATTAGGCCTATACTGTGGTTTTCCTGTTTACTTGTCCCAGCCCTGCCATCAGACACTTTGGTATATTGAAGTGATTGCATATTGGACCTACTGACTCTACATATGAGGTGGATAAACCCACCGTGTCATCACACATTGGTTCTCTGAAGAGTAATCTTGAAACTCAAGTCTGGCCATCGCCATACTGGTAGTGCTTCACTCTGCCTGCTATGGCTAATCCAAGCATGGGCAAAGAGGTGGAGCATAAGTGGAGCTGGCTAGACAGCCAGCAGCTAACTACCTATGGTGGGACCCTCCCACCTATCTCTCAAAGCAGCCACACCCTTAATTATGCATAACTTTTAGTCTCAATATAATTTAAATGGGTGAGTTATAAAAAAAATTCATCCCCTGGACAGTTGTCATAGAAGGGGAGATTAGCTATAGACACCAAGCTGTAAACATGTTTATTTCATGGGGACTGACTCCCTTTTGGAGCCATTCAAGGAACTGCAGGTTTTAACACTTCCGCAGTGGTTTCATTTCTTAGCCTTGAAGTTCGCTGCTTGATAGCCCAACTGATTGGTAAATGTATTTATTATCATTAATAATTGTAATATTGGAAAATGTCAAATTAGCTCTGAACAGGTAGATGTACTTTTAATTTATTTGAGCGCCTGCCCTTTAGAAACTCTCTACACATTCCTGACTTACAGTACTGCCTGGAGATGCGGTATGGCACATATACATTGCCGTCGGGGGCTTTAGGCCACAGGCAACCTCGTGCTGTGCAGGGGTCAGCATTCCCTAGACCTGTTGGCACTGCTATGTCTCCAAACAGCACTAGAGGCTCATCCAAGTTCTTTCCTGCAAATGACATAGTTAAGAAAATGTTTGAATCTTTTCTATTGTACTAAATTTCACTGCTGTATACGTCCAGGTATATTTACACCAGCTTTATGCTTGCTCTAATGAATGATTTCGTGATATTTTTACATTTCTCAATTATTGTACATTTGCTACTGGACTAATAATTTCACCAAAGGGAAAGAATAAAGCAGTTGCAGTGGACATGAACTTACCAAGATTAGCATTGGCCTTCTCTAGTAGTGTGGAGACACTGAACTCATCATCTTCAATGGTGTTGCCTGTGGAAAAGAAGCAGTTCGTTCATGTATCAGTTACATGATGTAGGAACTGCAGCTTGTTACTGTATAAAAAGTGACCAAGTCTTACCAGAATATTTATCACTCTTTTGAAAAGGACCCTGTAATAAGACAGTTAAAAAATAAAAGAAAGAAATACAGCCACAGAAATTTTATCTAAATTAAATATGTGAAAATTCACTTCTATCAATGTTCATACAGAGTTTAGTTCCAGCAGATACCTTAGTTGATTTCAGACTAAGGGGAAAGTGCATGTCCTATACAGATAACATGTAGCAGAAACAGGGCTACGATACCAGCTAGTATTTCTTCTTTCTAATGCATGATTGCATCTATGCAGGAGTCTAATGTAATGCAATGTAAAACCAACAAGAATAAAATGAAAGACTAAATCACATTTTGCACCATCATAAATACAAAGTTTCCCTGGTCAATGAACAATCAGCCAATATTGAATCTGTCTGCCCACATCAATGAATATTGTCTCTGTTAATACTTACCTGTACAGTAAAACTGTGGATGGAGCACAGGAGTGCACTGAGCACAGCAGTCTGGAGGATCATGGCTGATTGTAAGACGGCAGCAGATCAGGAAAGTGCCTGTGGGAAAGATAGAAAATGTTCAATCTTATATAGCGAGGAAAGTCAGCTAGCTTTCATCCTAATATGGCATTTTGCTCAACAAAGACATGTTGACAAATTCTGCTAAACTAGAAATGGTGGTTATTACTTAAAACAAACCGTGGGTTGTGTAAAATCCTGTTATTTGGTTCCAAAGAAGAGCAGACCACTCCTGACTGATATATCACTCCTAAATGGTAGACTTGCTGCTCATCTTGAAACGATGTTGGTAGGAGCAGGAGATGAAAAACTTCAGAACCTGCTTGAGAAGCACTGAGTTTTTAAGATCTCAGTACATACACTAGCACATAGCAGAAATTAATTTAACTGATAATACTTAATTTGGTGTACTTAGTGTTCCAAAACAAACTAATATAGGCTAAAAATGGTGCCCAAACTGCAGTGCACAGCAACTGCTATCTGTGGCAACAGTATACTTACTGTTTATTGTAAAGTTATGACCTGTGCACGTTTGAACTTTTAGATTTAATGTGACATTTTTCAGACTCCAAAGTTGGAGACAGGGACTCAGTTCTAGCTATCTGTTTGTTTGCATGTAATAGGCCATAATAATTTGGCATAAGTTATTGATATTAAAACCTGTTCACCCTCTCCATGCTGTGTCCAGCACACCACCATCAAAGCATACACTCTGCCTTTCAATAAATGATTTTTATGTATCATAGTGCCAAGCAATAAGGTGGTGCAATACACTGTTAGAAAGTTTGGAATATAAAATGGTGAAAGCTGTGTCAGTTGTGTTTACTGTAGACTTTGATGACTCTGACTTTGGTAACTCAACTCAAATTAGTCACTCGGACTTTAGTCAGAAGAAACACTGTGGACTCGAGACTTGACTCCGTCTCGAGGTTTAGTGACTTGACTACAACACTGGTTGTAAACAAGTCACCTATCCTTATGATAAATAATAAATCCACTGGCATTTCTTCAGGAGGTTAGCTCTCTGCTTAACCCTTTACCACCACCCCATCAGAGTTGTGGCACCTTTGATTTATGGGCAACTTTACTGCCTATGGATGCAGGTCGAGCCAACACTGCAAAGGATAGGGCCATTTCTGTTGCACCATGCTCAGATTAAGTGCTTTTAAAATATGCTTAGTTACAAGTTAAAACTGCCCAACAATAAATACAAGTAGAGCTGAAATGACTAACGTACTGACAGAAAATTAACTGGCACCTACTTTAATAAACACTTAAAATGTTTGTCATGCATGTTTTCAGCTTCTCAAATGTCACATTTTGCTGCTTTTATTTTGAACTATTTAAAAAAAAAAAGTTGATTTTGACAAAACAAGCATTCTTGTGTCAAGTTGTCACTTTGGGTTCTTGATAATTGTGATGGCCAGTTTCTCACAAGTTGAACACATTTTTACAACTCAAAAAAAAATCATTTAAGTGGAAAATAATTATTGTTGTAATTAAAAGAAAACAAGGCCCACCTCACCTAACTACAGTAGTAAAATGTGATTATACTTTTACATGCTTTAGTTAAGCAGGACTTAATTGTTAAGAGTATTGTGGTAGTGCTAGTAAAGGCCCTTAATACAGTATTACCTCCACTACTGAACATGGCAGTGTTGTAGTCTGGTCACCAGCGTTTGAGTCAACTCGAGTCTTATGTTCCCAGTGTTCAAGTCCGAGTCAAAGATAAGTCGAGTCTGAGTCCCCATTACCAGAGTTTGAGTCATCAAGGTCCACATTAAACAACTCACCATTTTACTTGCCAAGCTTTCTATTGCAGAGGTCACATGAGACTCATTAGGTCACAAAAATTGTCATATTACCCCCAATTAAATGTTCATTTTATTTTTAATAGCATCTTTTCATTTTAATTTCATTTTTTT